TAAGGGGCACTGGCTATTGCAAATCATTTGCTTTAAAGTCAGTCAGTCAATAAGCGCAATGACACACCATTTCAATTGTGCTGTCGCAACCAAGCTTGGCAACATATATGTGTGTGTGTGTATATAGGTTCACACAGTTAATAGGCTGTGGAGGTACTCCAGGACACGTACCCTACAGATTTCCAGGTCCTGCTGCGGCCTTCCTGGCACACAGTGAGAGGCTATGCTGCAGCTGTGCAGGGGTGATGGGAACAGCAAACAGGTTCAGGAAGAGCCAGAAGAGGGACTGCAGCCAGCCTCCTCTTGATTTATACCATCTTCATATAAGGCCCATCTTGAAGTTACTGTATGTCCTTGTTCCCCTTGTCGTGCCATCCACACCATGAAGCTGGTGGAATAGAGTAGCCAAGAGACTGCAGGGCCTCTCACCAGTCCCTTGTCCCATCACATCCCTGGGCAAAGCACTGGGCAGCTTCTGGGAGGCTGCCTGGGAGTGCTAGGTGCTCCACTCAGCGACAGTCTCTGGTTACCTACAGACCCTCTTTGGAGCCTGGCAACCCTCACACCTCTCCCCTTGTTTTTTTTTTCAGCCTGGGCGCTGACTGTTTTCCCCTGCTTTTTCCATTTTTATTCTAGTCCTTTTCCAGCACAAGAGAGATGGACAGTTTTGTTAGAGCCAGTCCCTGGCTAAAAGGGGAAGGACAAAAGTGGCAGCTGTGCAGCCTTGCCATTGACAAAGAACAGAGGAAAGTTGGTGCAGGACTGTGCCCCTCCTTAGCATATGACACAAAGCAACATGTCTCTTGACACCCATTCTCTATGCATGTGCAGGGCAGAATTCAAGAATCACAACACTGAGAGAAGCAGAAATTTGTAGGAAATGGCAAAAGAGACTTTCTAACAATATTTTATTGGCTTGCATTGCAAGCATTATTGAGGCAAAGGTACCACTCACTGAGCATGCTTTCCAGTCTTGAAAGACATAAATAATAATAATCACTATTATTAATTTCACTTTCTTGGCACTACTTCAAAGTTACGTACGTCTAATGATTTTGATGCATTTTATTCTTAGAACTAAAGCTATTACAGCTGAACATTGTTACCAGTGAACATCTAAGAAATGGAAAATTCAAGCTGGCATGTTCCAAAAAGCCAACCTCAAGCTTATGCGCTACCTACATCATAACGTGGTGCCCTTCATTCTACAGGAATCCCCGCTTTCTTACAAGATCTCAATTTAAGCTGGGTCTTCATATGCAGTTCTTTAAAAAAAAATAAAAATTCCGAGCATTGAGAAGCACAGAAGAGAAAGCCACTGACTTCAGAGGGGATTTAGGTGCCTATTACAGCGGACTAGTGCCACCGAAAACATACAGAAACTGAAACATGCATAGAAATATTCACATATATATGATGAAAACATGTAGACATTAATTTATTCTGAGCATTGAACTTTCACGGCAGTGCCAAACACACAGAAGCAGTTCCTTGGTTGGTCTTGGTTTTGCTTCCATTTGTTAGGTTGTGAGCTTTAAAAAAAAGGGATGAAAATATAAACAAAAAGGTCAATTTAATCTTCACATTATAAATAAAAGTTTGTAAAGCTGTAATTGTGATTTGCCACTGTGAACTCAATGCCCTAATGGATTACAGCAGAATAATATATTGCATCTGGCTTCTTTTGCCTCAGAAACATCAATAGTACTGTACATATAATTGTTTTAAGATGCAAAAGTTCAAAATGAATGAGGGACCCGAGGCAACATTTTTTAATACGAGTATGTGTATTCATGTATCAAAGGAGCTGATTCACAGTAGAGTATTTAGACTACTTAGCCTCCATCAGTAATGTCAGATAACGTTTAGCTACAGGCCTTCCAGGGTTCTGGAAGCAAATGTTTGGAGCAAGCAACATTTGCAATTTCATGTTCATGGTTTAAGACTAATCTGAGATCGGAAGCAATGATGAAAGAGGAGGTCATCCACCAAACCCATCCATCAAGCACCAAAACCTCCAAAATTAGTTCAACAGAACAGTCAGTGCACTTTAATGGACAGTTCAGGAGCACACGTGAGCACTGCATTCAGTGCATCGAGGGGAGGAGATAGCTTTAGAGGTGGCTTTTTAAAATGTGGCCAGCTGGCAAGGGGATGTCAGTCTCCAAAAGACCTCTATCCTAGTAATCACAAGAAACAGCAAACCTCAGAGGCTTTGTTCATCATTCGCAGAAGCAAATCGCAAAACCTCATGAAATTACAGCCACTATGCTTGTTCCAGAGTTCTACTGTTTGGAAGAATTTGTTCAATTTTTCTGTAACAGGGAAAACTCGACTTCAAGCCTTCTGAGGGTAAGCCACTTCCTAAGAGAAGACAATTTCTAGCACCTGGTGGCATAGTGGAACTGTCCTTCACAGACAGTGGGGCTGGAGATCTTGCAACAAGCACTGCCAAAGAATAAGCTACACTGCAGCAAAACCCAAGCAAATGCTTGTTGGAGGAAAGGTGAAAGTGTGGAAGATATGAGAAAGGAAAGGGGTTTAGCACATGGAGGTTGATAATACTACAGCTTAGTTTGTTGCCCATAACATTTTCAAGTTATTTTTTTCTTCCATGGGCCTGACAGAGATGCTAAAGGCTAGATACAGAACGAATTCGAGTTACCTAAAGTGAGACTTAAGCAGACTCTACAATGAAACTATCAACCTGTTCCTCACCTAAAATTATCAGTCTGTAAAGTTAAGAGTTATTTGATTTAGTTGTTTCACCTCTTTACATATATCCAGTCTTGGTTCCCGGCTTGCTCCGAGGGCCATCAGAGAGTTGGAAAGTAGACATTTCTTCTAAATCTCCTAAGGACTTGACTTGGCAGGCACTTCCAGCACCTCAGATGCCAGTCGGATCAAGCTGCTCAGAAAACATGGCAGATCTCAATTCTACACCATGCAGAAAATGACTGCAATGCCATCCTTTTGGTCAGTACTGTTACAAAGAAGTTATACTGACTTAATTCCCTTCCTTTCTGGGAAGATACAAGCCCATACTTTACTAAGCCATGCCTTTCTTTGATTGCAGCACTGTCCATTGCTCCTTTTGAAGCTGTACCACAATGTATCGACAAAAGCCAGGTCTCACTAGACCAGAATGTGAGCACAAGTGCCCACTAGCCTCCATTCAAGGCTCTCGCTCATGGGCAGAGGAGCAAAGAGGGCTCTTCACCAGCCACTGCATAACAACCATCCATGGTTGCTGGACACATTTTCTCCTCCCTGATTTTCTCTTCATGGCAGCCCCACTCACTCTTTGGTTCACTGACTTCTTTTCTACATTCTCTGGCCAAACTAATCCCTTTGTGCATGGTGGCACAGCAGTACCAGGAGGAGTGAAGGATGTTGCTGGGGCAGAGTAGTCTAAAAGTTGTTAATTAGGATAACCCTCCCTCTCCTTAGAAGAGCAAATCAAACCCACACCCTGGACCAATACTTCATGGGTCTACAGTAAAGCACCTGCTATAAAATAGTAGGCACCGCCACTCTCCCTCTGATTTAAAGCACAGCCCTACTCTGTTTGTAAAAGATAAAAACCAGTCCTGAATTCCTACAGATGTTCAGGCCTGTAGATCCTCAGAGGATGGAGACTTGCTATATACCTGAGTGAGACGTCTGAACAATGGGACTCATCCATTCGGCACACGAACTGCTTCAGGTGACATTCAGAAGCACTCGAACACCTAACATTCAGGCACTTACTTCTATGAGTCACTTAGGCACACATTTCCAGGATGACATGCACCAAGCCCCTGTTCTGCACTGACCTTCTCTAGCTCCTGCTGGTAAGCCAAACAACTACTGTCCATCTAAATGAGCCTTTTATAAACTAGATGCAAATATTTTTTATCCTATTTAACATCTCAGCTGGGCACAAGCAGATGAACAACTTCTGCCTTGGGACAGCAAAGAGATGAGAGAACACTCCCAACCTAGAAGGCAGAAATATCATAGACTTGCATACAAGACAATTGTTTAATACGTTCACAAATCAATTTTATTAATTTAAAACAAAATTTATGAAGAAAAATTCTGTACACAATTGTGGACACAACACACTTTTTGTACAATAAGGCCCAGATAAACTGTTTGGTTTTTTCAGTCTGCAAGTGACTAAAAATTGGAGAGCCAAAAAAAAGACAACCAACCCCCCATCACTGTCTACTTTGCTTGAGGAAAGAAAAAGGCTAATTATAGTCTTAGTTCTAAAAACTACCCACAGTGTGCTTTATGTACATATGTGAGTACCGTGCGAATTCCAGCACTCATACTAGGTAAAGTAAAGCACATGTGCAAGACTTGGTAGGGTAAAAACCTCTCTGTTGGTAATAAAGCAATCCACAAACATTGAATTCTAGCAGCAATATGATTCCTTCAATAGAGAAGGGTGTTGTTTTGTAGCTACACTGGTGCTTTGCAGCTTTGCAGGTAGCTGTTTCAAGGCTGGTGTTTTTAGCAAAGGAAAACAAGAAGAAAAGCTGGAGAATGAACCAACTAAGCCAAGGCTTCTTTTTAATGAAGAGATTTAAATTGGGCAAAGGGAATTGGTACAATTCAAGGTGAAAAGTCAGACTAACAGTTTATCTGACCAAGTAGCTCATGGCCTTCAAGGTAGAAAAGTCACAGGTCACAGACAGACACAGTCTAAGTTTGTCCTGTAAATGGGTATAGACAAGAGCAGATTTTAACTCCTTGGCGATAACTATTTCAGTATTTCCATTGCCGGCAATGGAAGTTATATCTTAGGTAAATCTGACTCCTGGTGGAAGAGGATTAAAAAACTTAAATGTCTATGAGTATTCTTGTTCAATCTCTCCAAAATATTCCCATTTCTAAGTTCTAAAAATAACAATGATGATAGTTTCCTTCATTTTTGGATGAGACTACTGAAACTATTTGGTACCAAGATTCCAGTTTAAGTCATGTCTTAAAATATATTTTTGTTCTTTCTCTATTGCTTTATAGAATGAACTTCCTAAATAATATTTCAATACTTTTAAAAAAGGGTTAATATGTTAACTTTAAAAGAGGAAGCAGAAGACAGCAAAGGACTCCTCTTCAGCTGTGTTTTATCTGTATTTCCTTCGGGGGGGGCAGGAGGGAGAAATCAATCTTTTCATAATTAGAGTAGGTGAGAGAAGAGAAAGGTAGAGAAACAGATGAGGAAAACAAAACCCAATTCCTATTGACACTTGACATCCATGCTTTTGGTCTTGACAAATTTACCTAAAAAAAATCCATTATCTACATATTTATATCCAATGCATTGACGAGGCACTGCACAAACAGTTTGTGCACATGTGGCCTCATTCTTCACTAACAAGGCATTACTATCTTTCAATAGCATTTACCTTAACAATATGTAAAAGAATCATTCATTATTACAAATTTACACAAAAATTCTTCCTGTACATGATTGTCTCAGTGATGTACCTATTAGTTTAAATTAGACATATTTTAAACTACTCTGTAATGTGCTAAAATCAAAAGTAGTTGCTGTACCATAAGGCAAAGGTTTATAATAGCCTTTAATCCTATTATACATATCCTCAGTTATATGATGTCAAAATATAGTCTGTTCATAAATAAGTAAAGATGTACAGAGTACCCTGGGTATGAGAACCAAAAAGTAAACCTTCTTTACAAGAAAATTACTCCACTGGTATTTTGAAAAATCTCAGTCTTCATTGTGCAATCAAGTTTGCTGTGTTGAAGAAAGGGTGTGTGTCACATTGAAGAGTCTAAAAACTACAAAGCCTTTGTAGGTCCTTTTTTATTTCTTCACAGGTATGAACCTTTTATTTCCTTTTTTCCTTTTCCTTCTCTATTTCTTTTTGGTAGCAAATATGGTAAAGGTAAGTTGTTCAAACATTCGCATGGCTTATTTTCGTTGGACTTGCTGTACCAGAGTCAACAGCTGTTCTGAAGAAATAGACATGCTCCTCTGTTTACTGAAAGGGCAAGGGTTAAGACCAATTGCAGCTGTATGTCAACATGTTGAAATCACAAAGTTCTGTAGTCCAATGCTGACACAAGTCACAGGCATTCCGTCCACAGGCAGAAAGAGGCTCTGAGGTTTCAAAGTGCTGCTGAGCTGCTACAAGTACTCCAGTTCCAAGGCATGGTGAAGGGCCATAAGGTCAGAGTGACTCGAGATTCTCCAAAATGGCATAGCATGCTGTGAACAGTACAGACAACATGTAAAAATAACCCCAAGCATTCTGGTATTTAGACCCACCTATTGTCTTTCACAAGGAGAAGGGAACATTGCAAAGAGAGAAAAAGGTCTTAAAACCTCGAGCCCTTCATGTTTAGCTCCGGTTTCTCTGACCCACTCCCTCAGCATACATTCTCAATAATAGCAAATCTATTTACCAACAGGAACAACAGCAAACTTGTCAGGAGATCATAAGGAAGGGAGGGGAGTTCTCATCTCTTTATGAGAAAAACAGATTTCAGCACGTTGCAGAAGAAAATATTATTTCTAGAAAAAATTAAGAAAAAGAACCTATATATGAAACATGCAGGTAATTTGAGGAAGGGAACAGAACTTGATTTAAAAAAAAAAAAACAAAAAATAAAGGAAGTGAAAGTATTATTTACTATCAAAACATGTTTGTTCCTTGTGGAACTATCCCTGGCAGGTGAGTTAAGAACACAGCCATGGTGATTCAGAATAGCTCATGTGTTGCTCACATCACGTTGAAAGGAATTTTATCCCAGTGGTTTGTATAACATCGCTCATTGTTAGCGCCAATCTTAAGACATCTTTTCCATACAGGGCAATTTTTAAAATAAGTTGGTTTTTTTTTCCCTATTAGCTGTAATAAAACCTGCCTGGAACACAAATAAGACAATACAATGGAGGTCTAGATTTGCAAAGAACCTGAACAAACCAAAACCACAAATACCAGGATAAAGCACACATTACCTCATCCATGAAGGGTAAAAATCTGATTAAGAACTATCTTTATACTCTAAACCAGGGATCATAGTGTCAGCAAGAAATTTTGCATTAAAAAAAAAAAAAAGATAACCATCAGCTTTCATCAGGAAAACATTCCATAAATCCCAGGGAAAAATAGTTTCAATTCAACTATGTACTGAAGGCCAACATGACCATGTTCACCTTTTCATTGGGTGAGCTTGTGTCCTGGCATCTTACGGAGGCAAACCATGAGCAATTTTTTATCACAATAGCTCTGAGTTCCCCAAGCATTTTATCTACAATCTACAAAGGCCTTCTTCATCCTCCTTCAGCACTTCCTGAGTAAATTCCTAATTCTACTGAAATCAGTGGTGAAACTCCATCTCTTCAGATCATCACTTCTGTGCTGACTTTCTTATTTCATCCAGATCTTCTCCTCAAATTTTAAGTTAGAGAACAATTTTGAAAACAATGTGAAACTGTTTCCAGCTGTATGTTTACTGTAAGCCCTGTAATTTTCCTTTATACCTATCTCAGAAGGCAAACACCTTAGCACAGACCCTTTCATAAATTTGTCTTTAGAAGCACAGGTAAACATCTGTCTGTCCGTGTCTAAATAATGATTATTTTTAGAACAATACTGCTTCAATCTGGATAATGTTGTAATGACAAATTGGGTTGAATTTATAGAACAAAGCAGAGATTTTTAAAAGAAACATAACCATGTAAGTTGAGGCAAGTCTCTCTGAAGTCAAATAGCAACTGTTAAATGACAATCAACCGTCACTCTTGCGAGAGTCAGAGAAGATAATACTGAATTAATTAATATTAATAATCAAGACTAAAGAGTTGTATATGATCAGCAAAGGAGGACTGTATGATCAGCAAAGGAGGACTGTAAGGAAGCTGGAAAATGTGCACCCCACGAAGGGCAAGTGTTAGCAAGGACAGTTGCACAATTAGAGGGACTACAGAGCAAAGCAGATGGCACTGAGCACCCAGTGCCCAGGTTTCAGGGTTTTCAGAATAGCTCTAGTCTGCCCTTGTGGAAAAAGTACCCATTAGCAGCTGCATAGCATTTAGTGAGCACTTGGACAAGATACTGTTCTTTAGTTCTATCCAAAAGATGTGCTCTACTTCACCCCTAAAACCAGTCCAGGATGCTTATCAAAGTATAGTGAGGATGAATGAATGGAAGGTCTGCTTTGATATGACACTCCTGATCTGAATTAAAATGTAGTATTGATGCACCAACAGATGCCCACATTCAGAGTATGCCTAGCTTTTAGAGCAAAGAAATTTTTTCAGGAAGAAAATTAAACGACCCACAAGGAAGCACCATTGAAAGAGTTTCTGTTCTGCTTCACTTTACTCTAGATTGTTACAAATCTTGAGAATCTCAGCTTGAAGACAAATGCATGAGCAATAGATGCTTATGGAGAGAACAAACCAACCAACCAAAATAATTCAGAGACAATTGAGATGTTGTTTGAAAAAACACTTATGATATTTCCAAAACACAGATTAATCCTTTCCTTAAGAAGGAAGTGTTAAAGACTGACTATGACACCTACTATTTCTACATCTTCAATCTAGACCTCCATTGTATTGTCCCTATGCTCCACCAGCAACAGAAACTAGATGCAACTAGCTCACTCAGTTACAACTCCATGTCCCAGTGTCTTCCCTGTTACACCATACAGACAGTCTATCCTCTGAGCCCTGTCAGGTCAGACACTTTCCAAATCAAATCTTTCCTAAAGATTCATTTCTCGCACCATGTTCAGGAATTGAAACAGCAACAGCAAAACAAAATAAACATTCCTAATCATGCTGTTCTCTGGACTCTCCAAAAGCTTCTGTGCACCTATCTCTTATTTAGGCTGCCAGATCTTCCTGGCAGAATTTTTAACATCTGATAGGGGTATTACATCAAGGACAACTGGGCACAAGTTCGTGCTTGCAGCAGGTCTGTGAAGTGTTTGCCAGCTGATTGCACTTGGCCGGTGGCGTGGTGGAGTTTGGTGGACACCTGCCTTTGCGTAGTGTCTCTGCAGAAGCCAAGAGTCAATGATATGGATGCCCTCCAAGATCATACAGCAAACTAATGAATAGGGAGAATTGTAGTAATAAATTCTTGGCTTCCAGCTCCCACTTCATGCAGCTCCAGCATTATACTGCTTCCCTAGTAACAACCTCAGCATCACAGAGTGTACACACACCAGGCAGCCAGGGCAGCTAAAAAAACCTGATTAATTTAACAGAAGGTTGAGCTTCTGCTAAATCAAATCACAGTGATTCTTGCTAGATGTCCATATGCAATATTGAGTTTTGGATTGCCCTCAGCTGTTTATGGTCAGATTTTAAACTAAAATTTAATGGGTCATTATTTTGGCTGTATCTTTCTATTTCAAATTCACGTAAGTGTCCTCTGTTGTGAGTATACCTCCATTTATTCCACGTAGTTACAGGAGTGAGGTGTGGAATGATTCTGGAGAGTCCCATGAAAACAAAGAGGTTGTGTAAACCTCAGGATTATAATTATTTTCAGTTCTCCCGCATATAGGTCAAAAGACCAGCAGCACACTCCCAAGAAATAAAGCACGCCAGGAACGCGGTGGTTGCATGGGGCTGGAATCTGCGCCGGCGCTCTCTGCATGGATGAATGGGGCCGATTCAGATCTCTATCAGTCTGATCCTTCGGCACAGCCTTCATAGCTAACAGGAGGGGAAACAAACCTGAGATAGATCTATCTACATATCTATATGTATATGTTTGTGTACATATATAGTCTCACACAAATATGCGTCCATACACATGCATGTGTGTTCATGGGTCATACACAGTAATTTTCACCTCATCTAAGACAACAAATGATTGTACAAAACTAAAACTTTTAAAGTAACAAAATTACCATAGAAAACCTTATACATTATTCCTATATTAACATGACCCATTTATCCACAACTATTCAGCCCTATCAAAAGTGGCAACACACTCGAGACAGAAGTATATTTTCTCCTACCAAATGACTAGGCAAGAGTTTCTTTGTATATATATTTACTAAATATTGCCTTTAGAAAGCCATCCCAGCCAACACAGCACACATGTCCTGTAGAACACGTGTCTTCTATTCTAAGCACACTGAAAAATGCGACTATCTCATTTGCTGCTGTGGGAGAACAGATGACAAATGCTAACCGCTAATAAATAGGCGATGTAACTGGATGCATTAGTATCTCATGAAATTACAAGAAAGACTTCATTATTGTGTATTGGAGGAATGTCCACCTAGACTAGCAGTAAAGCAATGATTTTGTGTACTATTTCAATATCTTCCAAGTACATATGAAGCTTTTGTCTTTTAAAAACAAATTGTTTTGTAGATGATACTTGGTAATAAATAAATTTATGAACTTTTTAATTATTTAATTTTTATGACATTTGAGATGAAATATGGTGGCAAAAGTTTGATTTTGGTTTTGGTGTAAAAAGCACAAAAATTTAAATTATTAAGTTAGTAAATTTAATAACTATAATATTATTAAATGACCTAAAATATTAAGGTGTTTTATTTCTGAAACAGAAGCACTATTAGTTCTTAGCATATATTTACTATAAGAACAAAACTTCAACTATTGTATTTGACAAAATAAAATGTTTCTCTTAATACACGTGCAAAACAAGACCATTTTTTAACAGCAATACCGAAAAGTGCAGACTATCCACCTTCCCTTAAATGAATACATATTTATACAAAAACCTTACTCCTGAGAATTGTGACAGATTTGAATAGAACACTCATCAGTTTCTATCATCTTTCACAGTATTTTTGTTCTGTTCCTGCCAGATGTGCTAAGCGGTTGCCTTTACTTCCTACCCCAAACCGGACCAGCACAGTGTGACTGTGAGCTTAAAAGCAGTGGCATATTGGATACCCATTTATATTCTATTTATTGCTCCACAAAGATTTATGATTTTTCCTCCCAATTTCCCTCCAAGGCAGCATGACCGTTTTGGAGACAAAGGGAGAAGCCAATTTGCCCAGGCTCTCCCGAATCACCTGATGTAAAATCCAGCTCCTCAGTGCAGAGAGCCCCCTCCTTTGTCTCCTCTCACAAATTAGAAATCCTTTGGAGGATTCTGCTAAGTAGAAAAACTCAGGCATCGGGGGTTTTTTCTGCCTTCTTATGAGTACTTCTCGACTGTGTCTCCAAAGGCAAAAGATGAGCTCAAGCAAACCAAACCAAACCACAACACAACTAAACAAAACACAAAACAAAGCAAAGCAAAACAAAACAAAAAACAAAACACAAAACAAAGCAAAGCAAAGCAAAACAAAACACAAAACAAAACAAAACAAAATGCCAAGACAATGGAGTCTGTGGCAGAAAACCCCAGAAACCGATTCTGCGAAGAGCTGTGTGGTGGTGGCACTCAGATGTGGTGGCTCTGACCCACATGGCACCCGCCTGATGCCCATGGACATCCCGAGCACCCCTCAGATCTCACACCTGCTTCTCTTTCCCCTCCTCTCCCTCGTTTCCAGGGGAAGCTGATCTGAAGGTAGCAACCTCCCCGTGAACCCTGGCGTTACAGCTGAGCCGTCTGGTTGCTGAACTGAAGAGTATGATTATTCCTCAGTCTGCAACGCAAACGTCCCCAGAATTTTAATCATCTTATAAAATATTTTGCTGGACATGACAGCTGAACAAAGGTGTTGATACCATGGCTTGTCCCGTGCGATGTGAAATTAAGAGCATGCACTTGCCTCAGTGTACTGTATCTATTTTCATCAATCAAAAGAGGCATTTTATGAAAAAACAGTCTCTCCTAAAAATGTTTCTCAATAATCTTTTAAACGGTACTAAAAAGTTTCTATTGTTGAATTTTTACAATAGTGACGATAATAAAAAGATTTGAAATGTGTCCTTTATTTTCTTACTGTTGTATTGACTCAGGATTTTCTGGGAATGAAGGACATAAATTAAAATCTTGTTTTATGGTGAAGTAACTGATAAATTATTGGTAAATTATTTTTAATAGCAAACTTTAACTTTCTTATGGCCTAAGCTGGAAGTTCAGCTCTTTTCACTAAACAAACACAGAAGAAAAAATCTCTCAAATTAAATAGGTTTGATTTTATATGCTTACTTAAAATACTCATTATAGTTTACATATAGTCAATGAAGTGCTACTTAAAGAAGGGTGTACTGTTTATGCTTCAAGAGTGTAAAGAAACATACATATTCTATGGGCTTCACCACAGGCCAAACCCCTTCAGCAAAGTGCTGTGCAAAGGGATAGCACAAAAGCTGTCCCTGCCCTGAGGATATCACAAATCCCAACGTGTTGATGGGAAGGAGAGTCGGGAGGAACCAGCTAAGAAGGTTCAGGGGATAAGCAATGCAAAGGGGTACATCATGGGGCAGTTATGCCACTTTGAATTGATGGGCTTTGGGTGCCTTTGTGGGGGTAAATTGTCTTCTATTGTGTTTACACATTCCAGACAACGTCTAGGCTTTTAGTTTTCTAATACAGAGATAGCATTTATTCCTTAGACAGGGCACACGTCTCTACACTGAAGCACAGTACACACTAGGCTGCATTCCCATGCTTGTTCCTCCTGATAACCTTAAAAGCAACCTGAGGTGCAGATAACCAAAAAGGCATCATCTGGGTTTGGAGTAGCTCCTTGTTCCACAAGGCACTGTGTGGTCCTTGCTCTTGCAGGATGCAAGGGCCAAAACTTAAGAGGCAAATCCTGCTTTCACAGTGTGAAATGGTGACTTCTTTTTGCAGTGGAGTAAGAGGCATTTTCCTTAATCAAATTAATACTTTCAGCAGAAAGGCAGGTCTGCTGGTCTACTTATTGACTTCTCTGGCATTGCTGCAGCAGATAATTTAATCCAGAGCATCTAACATGCTTTGAATCTGAAAATTCCTTCCACCAAGAAAGAATACACAGAAGTAATGGCACAAAGGAACTTTCTATACTGCTACTCCTCTTAGCAACTGGAAAGGCTTTTTTTTATGCTTTTCTGAATCATGTTTCCTGTTGAAAAAAGCATTGAATTAGATAATGTTACCAAAAGGACTACTCCTGCCATTATCATATACAACACTATTTCACCGAGCAACAGAAAAGGAACAAAGAGAAGAATTCCCTGCCCCCCCTACCCCGATCTTAAATGCAGCTTTTAAAATGTAATCATTTACAGCGGGAAAACATTTCTCCACAAAGATGAAAGGCATTTCTGAAGGAGAAAGGAGCAAACTGTTCCCGTCAGTCCGCCAAAGGGACATATGAAACTGAGACTCTGCGAAGGGCCAGGACAAGCCGGGAACCTACCCGCAATGCTTCGGGGGCACAAAACCCACATTTCATGAAGCAAGACCAGTCAATGGTTGTTAAAACACCATGCGGACTAATTAGTTTCACTTCTCCAATTTGGAAAGTTACAGTGGAAACAGATACGGAAGTACCACAGAGAGTTTCATGGTAAAAAAGCAGCTGTGCAAAAGCAATTTACCTGTAAAGGGAAGCAAAACCAGAAATGCCCTTTTTCCTATTCCTTCTCCTATTGTTCAAATAGCCAAAATTATGCCTCATTCCTCCAAGCAAAGAGTCTGTATCTGCTGTACTTGGGTAGAATGGCAAGGTTAGGAATGCTACTGATTGTCAGTGGGAAGTACTGCTTTTTATTGAGCTTACTCCACACTAGGGAAAAAAAAAAAAGTGAGTTTTTCCCTTCTTCACAGAGGAAAGCAAAAAGTAATAAAGACATAGTCAAATAGTATCCTCTGCCCAGTTAACTGAGGTTATGAATGCAGGACAAGCCACAAGTAGTTACCTGAACACAGAATTCAAAAGTCAAAAATGTCAAAAGACAAACAAGAAAACTGAAATTTATGTATACCCACTCCAGTCCTACATAACTTTTCAAGGGGCGACGTATACATATTTCATATACGTATTCCACATAGTCAAATAGCACACTGCCTTTGATCACTAAGAAATGCCATTTTTTGCTTATATTCATAATATCCTATGTGATATTTTGGGATGCCAGTGAAAACAGAACTATTAGTTCTTGGCACAAAAGCCAGGGTCCATTTTCTGGCTCCTTTTTGAAATACGTCAAACATACATAGCTAGCTTAATGTGTCTTTTGGAGAACAGCAGGGCGCATCATTATCTACAGTTTAATGTGGCTTTCTACGAGATATGGTCAAAACATATTTCATAAAGCAAAGACAGAAAACCCAAATGTCAATGCACGCTGTCCCATGTTGAAGAAAAAACAATTTTGCTTTCAGACGCTTGAAATCAAACCACACTGAAAAAGGGCCATTACCTTTTTTGCACCTTGCTCTTCTTCGACACCATCCCCTATAACAACATACACTACTTTTCTTCCAAATCTTTGAATTATTCGCTCAAAACAACTTTCCTTTCCTGAAAGAAAAAGATCAGACTATTCAGAATGGATGGTGATGGGATGACACCAAATAATCACTTTTTAGCCTGGATGTCCCCAGCACTTTGAATACATAATTAGAGCTATTGGGAGAGAAGATCCTCTCCCGCAGGATGGTGTACCAAGGCCGATTGCAGCTTTACTTCCACCACAGCAGCTGACAGGCAACCTTCAAATCTGCTCCGTGAGGTCCCTTAGTACACACGCCATGGTAGCCCCATAGAGGACTAGAGGTCCACAACATCACCTTTCTTGTCTCCTTCCCTAATCTGAGACAGGTTTCAGGGGGAATTTCCCTACTAAGAGAATTCTCTACCGGCTGTTTACAGCCAGTATCCTGAACTGAGCAAATTGATTGAATCTGAGTTGAAATTCTAGCTTTTTCTCCACAACCTGTGACAAGATTAATCACAGCTCCTGAAACAGTAGTATCCTGACTTAGAAGGTCACCCAAAAGATTTAGATTTAAATGCCTGTAATCCAATACACGGGCAAGGTCCTTGATCCTGCACTGGGATCCATTAATGTGGCTCATTACTTCACTGCACAGACATAGGGACATGATCCCAGCGCTCCAGTCCTACACATAGGTACCCATACTGGGAAGCTTCAGGTAGTGCTACTGGGAAGCCAGAAAGAAAGTAAACGCTTATAGTTGAGTTTTCTCAAATGTCCCCATTCTGAAAGACTACTTCAGTGTGGTCATGGTACATGCTTACCTGTGTATCTACAACAACCAATGGGAAAAACTGTGTTTTTCAAAATAGTTATTTCAGCTACAGAACAATACCAGCATAAGAACAAAGAGGCTGGAAATTAAAAAAAGGTTTCTAGCTAACAGAGAAGCCAAACTACTCAATTGCACCCTTTAACAACAGCGCCAGGCATAAGAAACCCCTCACGCTAACTAGGTTGAAATGGTGCTTGGAAATTATGAATTGTGTCATGTTACAAAAATCTCATGATTTCTTGTGACAGTCAGTGACTGAACACAGTTTTCCAAAAATACCCTTCTGTCCTGTGGACATGAAGTCACAAGTGAATATTTATTAAAATATGTTTTAATTAAAATGTGTATTTAAAGTATTATAATTCAAAGCTTTAATTTACTTTAAAGTTTTGACAGATGGTACCATAACATTTCTATGTTCTACATAAAACTCTCAACCAAGTGTTTTCAAAAAAAAACAAAACCAAACAAAAATAACCCACCATTTTTTCTCAGCCATTTGAGCTTCCTGTATTATAGATACTTAAGAACACATGAAAAATGTTTTCATGTAGCCTACAATTTTGAGGAATCTGAGACAGAACAGATATGTCATAATCACGTTAAAAACTACAAGCACCATTGCCATCTGGTCCTACGTACTTCTACATGCTCAGAATAACATCTTTTATATTGAACCAGAAACAGAAATAAACATTTGCCCGGCTGAAGCTTATTACAGTCAGTATGAATGAACTTAAATAATTACATTCTGCAGCAAAACATTCTCGCTTCTAGTAAACTTTTTACCAAAATTTGCTCCAGAGCCCATGAAAACAAATGGAGCCAGGGCTTACCTTTACAGAATTTCCTCTGCTAATCTGGGAAGACTTCAGTGTTCTGTACCCATAGCCTACCAAAAAGCCTTCTTGACTGCTACATAGCCTCATATTTTTGAGAAATGATGACAAAAAAGCAATTATATTTCATCTTAACAGAGGCTGCATGAGCATTAATAGAGCTATAAGAAGCTTTCTGTGCTGGATCATGACAAACATTTGAAAAGCATCTTTAGGATATTTTAGCATGGGAAATGTTTCATGAGCTCAAGTATTCCTAATCTCTGTATTTGCTACAGTGGATGCACATAAGAAATATAGACTACAGTATCTTTTTATTTAGAATTACAGCTTCAAATGTATCAAAACATTACAAAAACAGCTCACCTATTTTAGTTGCACTGTAAATATTCTCTATGGGAAATACAACCCCTAGTCCATACAACAAGACTTTTGCCAGAGCTGGAATTAGCTGAGTAGTTGTTACGAGAATGTTCACACAGTTTGTCCTATGGAAGAGAAAATGCAAACATCCTTTTTTAACAAAGCAAAGCAGAACGAAACAAAACAAGACAAAAGAAGGAAAACCTTATCCCTCCCATCAGAACCCCTCGCTATTATTATTGCCACTTACAAAGAAAGTTTTTTTTTCCACCGTAAGGAAAGCAAGATAGAGTGCCATGGTGAGACTGGAACAAGGAATGAGAAGAAGGTCCTCCAAGTTCAGCGTTTTGCCCACCAGACCAGGCAGCCTCTTCTAGATCATCCACAGATATCCTAAAGTTGCCTAACTACCCCATACTCTTTGAACTCACCTCGAATGAATGAGGGTGAGTGCTTTCAGTGCAAGTGTTAGCCAAGAATCTGTCAAAGCTTCAATTTCTGCTCTTAGTTGTAACCAAGCCTCTCTTTTTGCTGGACCAAGAAGACCTGCGGAGTAGATAAGGGCATGTCTGCATGGAAATTAAGTAATGTTCTGTCATTTTCCTTTGCTTTCATTAGCTCAGAGACAATTTTCCACACACCACAAACAGCTCACTAAATGTTACCATGTTAAAAAAGGAACAGAAACCAAAAGTTCTTCCCTTTTACCACTTCTAATCTGTATCTGTTACATACTGCAAAGTCACTTGCCTCCGACATTATTTTTGTAGGTATTATATATTTCTTTTACTCGTCTGTAGCGGAAAGCCAATTTTCGCATCCAGTCCACTCCTCCGCGCACCCCCGTTGCGAGGCATAAGTTCGCACTGGTGGCGGCCGCGGGAAAACCGTCTGTTCCAAAGTTATAGGTGCTAGTCAGAGAAAAGAAAACCCCCAGATTAACAAAAGGCAATAGGCTACATTCAGCCACCAGCCACTCACTTTGCTGGGTTGCAAGGGCTAAGACAGCTAAAAAAGAGAGTGGGCTACTGTAAGCATTACAGCAGTTCATCGCTTTCCCATGAAGGAACTTGCAAAGCAACACTTTATCTTGTTCAGTTCTCTTGTACCTTAAATCCTGACCGTTGTCATCTGAAGACACATCATCAATGTGAACCTGGTCGCACTCCTAAGGTGACAGAAAGACTTTATAAATTTTCTTGATGTTGCAAACCTCAAAAATAAAGCTATTAAAAAAAACTATGAACAATCTACTCATCAGGGATATTTTTAATTGTGGAAATCAGTAGATGGCAGTCTTGTTAAAACAACTATTTTACCTATTCCTTGTGCTCATTTCTTAGAATACATGCAGACCATCATTAGCTACTACTGTTAAATGGCTTTCCAAAAACACATTTTTGTGTTTAGAAAGGAAAGTGGTTAAAAACAATTAGCATATGTGTTCCATAAACGTTCTTGTAGCCTTTCAGGTACCTAAAAACATCATGCTGCTCAAAGCTGATTCAGTCAGTGCATAAGTGTAACTGAAACCAGACATTTTGGTAAATGTAACATATTAGAAAAATTAAACCTGATGCTAACCGCCAATGAAATTATGACCTCTGATTGCTGTTGAGCCACACACCAACACAGCCTGAGGCCAGTGTTTCAGAGGAGTGCAGACGAAAAATCTGTTCCTAGTTTGCCATTCATTTGAGAGTTGTGAGTTTCCTTCTCTCTCTTTGGTCTTAGTGCATGAAATCAGCATGCAAAAAAAATCTGATCAGAAATAGGCAAATCAAAGTATCTTTCTCCAGCGACTTGTACGCGAACTAACAGGGCACATTCATAATTAGCTTAGTCCATCACTAAATCAAAAATCATAACACATATTGTTTATCCACCAAAAAAACATTAGAACATTACTACTAACAATTTAACTTTTGGCAGGAAAACAAACAAACCTCTGGCACTCCAGATCAATCTCAATTCAATGCTTGAAACAATAATGGATTTCAATTATTTTAATAATTTCCTCTTCTCTCTCTTAATGTGAAGCCCTATAACAAGCATGTTCTATTTTAAACATGAAAATATTGCAATACCTTATTTTTATGTTACTGCTTTCCTCTGAACAAATTTTTCTCTCTCCATGGATTTGTGAGGAAGGGAGGGAAGATAGAAGTGGAAAGAAACTCAAACCAGCTGTTCCCTAACAGAATTAAAATCATGACCCTCAACCCTTTTTCTAAAACATCTATTTTCCAGCCAACCCTCTCCCAGCAAGCAGCAAGCTCCAAGGAGGAAAAGACTTTGACCCTGTAACCTTCTTCTCCTCTCCTGAGGTCAACAACCTCAGATAAGAAAAAAGCTGAAGTCTATTCGGCCTCACATGATGGCTGTGGTCTCCAGTTTTTTAAAAACTAAGTCTATGAAAAATATCTCAGAAACTTTTCAAATGTTCTGAGGAACAAGGTGTGGTCTTTCACACTTGTACAACATGTTCTTATTCTGTAATACATACTCTTTCATATTTTACACATAGGTAGCCTGTGCTAGAGAGAGAGGTAAGAGCGACAATCAGCACAGGAAAGACAATACTACATTTGCTCATATTTAACCACCATATAGTGAATTTCCTCCTCAGACAGACAAAATATATTAGATGTACACAGATGAAACTACAAGTGTGAACATATGTTGCCAGGTTGCCAGGCTTTGAAAATCATCTTGGCTAAAAAAAAGCCAGAAGCTTCTTCAGCAAGTTATCAAATTCACAGAAACTAAGGTTTTTTTTTAAAAAACTGGAAGGAACTGTCCATCCAAATGCCTACAAAGCTAATGATTCAAATATGAACTGAGTGTAAGCTAATGAGGGGGACACCCTCCTGAATCCACAAGTTTCCTACTGTAGTTGCTCTTCCACTGCTCAGTGACTTCTCAAAGTCTCCACGGAGAGAAAACTTAAGCCTGAGTTGTCAATGTAGCAGTGAAAACTATCAAGTCAATAGTCTCCTTTCCCAGCCTGGAAAACATGAATGACAACTGGAACAAGTTGCTGGAGAAGAGGATTCAAAATAGAAATCTGGGAAAAAGAAAGGGTTTTTTAGTAACCACAAAATTAAAGGAAGAAGTAGAAGATAGCTTCTCAGAGGAGCAGTTGAAAGAAGGAATAATTCAATAGCCTTCCAAATTCAACACTCTCAGGCAGGAAAGATGACACCACTACATCTTAGATCCCACAATTAGAGAGGACCTGAGGACTTGGAATTTTAATTTATGCTGCAAGGTGTTGGGACCATCACAAGCCCTGGGACATCACAGACATTCTCCGCTTTTGTCTAACTGCATGGTAGGTAGAAAGTGAGAACTGAAATGACACATTAGAAGTAGAAACCATGGTATTGAAAGAAAGAGGGATTCTGGAGAGAAAAACCCAGAAAAGAAATCAGAGACTAAAAACTGGTGGGGGAAAGATATAGAAACAGTGTCAAGAAAGTAAGCAAATTAAAGAAAAGGTCACGAACATTACTAATTTCAGGTGAAATGCTGGATATAATAGAGAGAGATAGTGTCCTCTTTTGTCAGGAATAAAAGAAGAAAAAAGTAAAGTCAGGAAGGAATGAAGCAAAATTCAAGCAGAAGAGATACGTGTTATAATTTGGAAAGGATTAAAGACTCATGTGATTGACACTACGTTACAGGCAAAGGAAGGTCACAAACAGTGCATGACTGTTTTGCTCCTGTTGAGTGGCAGGACACAGCTTTGAGGCTAAACGCAAGCTTTGAGTGCCAGGTATTTTTTCATGCTGTCTAGCTGACTTGGACTTCGGACTAATGAGTGATGGGTGCATTCTTCAACCCCTTAACATGGGAAGGAAAAACACCCATTTAGCAATTACTCTTTTAGCAGTAAAGTTATTTAGGAATACATCATCAAAGAAGCCAATTTACCTGCCCACCATTAATTGATCTGGTCCAACCTTCCTTCAGAACACTTTGTTTTCACCTGCTTGCGGTGTGTGGAGCATTTTGTTTATGGGCAAAGACTACCTGAGACACTGTTCAGTCCCTTGGTTAGTTATAAGTAAGCACTCACACATTCAACATTTTAAAATAACAGTTTACTCAACATGCACCGTAATTGGGGATATGCTAAAACGAAGTTTGACACTGACCGACAAATGAAGTATGCACTTCCAACCAGTGCATTTCTGCAAAGATATATTTTAATAAAAACAGAAAGACTCATAAAATCCTCAAGTACTTCCCAAAAAAGCTTCTGTGACGGGAGCGAACTTAGAGCTAAACAGCCGTTCAGAAAAAAAAAAACAATACTGGTTTGTTTGCAGGCTTACCATTTCAAACTTTTACGGATATATTGGACAATTTTGTAAAATTTTCATAGGAAATGCAGCATTACTATTCTCCCCCTAATTTCTCTGGCAAAGTGATACCTGAAATTAATATTGGAAGTCCCTGTATCAATACATGTTATTTATGCAGATGTATTTTATTATGATAGAATCAGTTTTGCACACAGCTCCAAAGCAGAACATTAAAATTGTTGGATTCTCTTTTAAAACAGGCTGAATTGGCAAGTAAGGAGCAAAATATCCTCTGGTTTATGTATAAAGATTATGCAGCAAGCTGTGTTTTGCTCTTAAAGGTGTTGACCTTGCAACTTCAGTGTATCCAGTTTGAAACCTTCACGAGGGACTGTAAGTTATGACATGTTTGCACTAAAGGTTTGGATTTCAGTCAGACAGGCTGCAATGCAGCTATCCCCGTTGAGATCAATCCCTGGAAAGCAAAATGCACTTGATATAGTTCAGGGATACTACTTTCGGAAGGGCAAAGCATCTTAGGCAAGTAAACCCTATTCTCACACAGGTCTTCTAAACTGCACTGATTTTAATGAAACCCTTGCCAAAGTGCTTAATTTGCATTTGAAAACGAGATTTGGGCTACTAAAGCAAACAGAAACTTTAAAAGACCTTATTCATGGCACCGCCTGCATATTCTGTGATTCTGTATATGAGGGGCAGACATGGGATAGGACAGGCATTCGCAAAGGGTAATTTAGTCTAGTGAAGTGACGCTGCACTGATTCAGATATCTGCTGCAGATCCCTTGCAGCCGTGGCCAACAATCATAGGGCAAGTTGGTCAGAAACCTGGAGTGCTTGTTTTTTCTTGGTTGATTTTCTGTGCGAGCTGCACACTAACTTGACAGCTGCGGTGGGAAAGGTCAGGAGAGTGGGACTGGGAGGTGGGAGCAGGACTGGCCCTCCTGGCAGCAGCCTGGCAGCTGCCCAAGGCAGCACCCCCAGAGCTATGTCAAATAAGTGCTGTCTGTAAGCTGGGGGGGTTTGTTCAAAAGGCTTCATGGAGAATTACAATTTCAGAAAGAATTTGAGGCAGAGAGAAAACTAATCTTCTGCAAAGAGAGAGAGTGGGGCTTTTCAGTTCAGGAATGGCAGCACGAAAGACAGCAAGCTGTGAAATGCAGGAGGATTTAAAAGTCTGTAGGAGGGAGATCCCAGCAAAAGCCATTGTCAAGGGAGAGAAAGGAAACACTTCCCGTATAACTTTAAAGTGCAAATTTGGATGAGGGAGGATGCTAGATAAGTGATCTAAAACAAGTGCAAGTTTGGATGAGGGAGGATGCTAGATAAGTGATCTAAAACATCAGTAACACTCTCAAAGCATACTCAAAGATCAACATTAATGGTGATATTGCGGGTGTCTGCGGACTTACCAATTAGCCAAAGGGAAAACAAGAGTCAGCATGTGTAACTTCGCAAATGTACCTATAGTAGTTTAAGAAGTTACTTTCCATGCTGTCCTTTGCTGTTCTCTTGAACAGACCTTTCAGTGCCACAATGGGTAGCTTAGCTTGAAACAAATCTCCTGCAGAAGCTCAATTAAATCAACAGATGTTGTACGGAGCAATTAAGAGTTGTTTCTATGTTCCTTTCCATCACCTCTGCTTTGGGGCTTGAAGCAGCAGCAGATATGTGATTGCAGGAGCTCTGTAAAACTGCTGCAATCATTTGCTAAGTGAAAATATGTCCAGTGAAACTCAGTAAGCCAAAGAAAAACAACCATCGAAAATGAATGACTAGATGAGTCATTCATCTGCTTTTTTAGCCTAAGGCTCTTTAGCCTAAGACTTGTACATGGA